AGGCTTCAGGAGTGGTTGCCGCAGCCGCCGTTTCAGCTAGCCTTATACGCAACTGCAATACCCTCTCTTCTCTCTCTGCCTTATCTCTAGTCGCGAGTCTCTCAGCGGCTTTTTCCTCCTGTTCATGGGCATATTTCTCTTCCGCCCACATTTTTAGTTCATCGGCCTGGAGGCCCAATGCCATGCCAACTTCTACAATATCTTTTAAATCCATTGCTTTGTAAATACCTCTTAACGATCCAAAGTGTCTCCGTCCTGTCGCGGACGCCAAATTGTCATGTCGGTTGTGATTGAGGGGTGTTAAGTAATCACACGGAGACAATTTGGATGCGTTAAATAAGCTTTCACTGGGCAACAAAAAGAGATTGAATAAAAAGAATATGTACAATGTTAATTACGTTAGAGTTATTAGTGCACAAAAGTTTTACTTGAACGCGCACGTCGTTGATTTGTTGATGGAGCAGGCAGTCGGGCAGTCAGCGAGGTGGTCGGCTGGTCAGAGTGTCGGAGGGCAGTCGGTCAGTGGTTCGGGTCGAGCAGTCAGTCACTTGGGTAGCCGGGTGGTCAGCGAGTCGGACGGAGTCCGGGGCTTGAAGGTTCAGATTGTTATCGCCGGTTGCATTCCGCGCTGCTGAGTCGACCTCGTACGGGCCGGCGCCTCGAGCGCTTGGAAGCAGCGCAATCGTATCTCTCGGGGTCTGGGCACCCCTACGGAGGTCGTTGCTGTGTGCTCGAGACTCAGCCGATGTTTCGCCTCTCGGAGCCTGGGAACCCCGACGGAGGTCGATGGTGCTCGTCCCGGACGGTCTGCGATTCGGCTTCGACTGTCCCGAGCCCCTGCGTGCCGCTCTCTCTCACGAGCCCCCCGTCTTCTTTTTTCTTTCCTTCCGTCCTCTTTTTTCTCTTTACTCTTTGTCCGGCAACGACCATGACAGTGCCCTACTACGGCGCCGGTATCCGAGAGTACGCTATCGATGAAACAATAGGGACCCGTGTCTCCGTGTTTGCATCGACAAACACAGAGACACGGGTCTCTATTATAAACTGGGCGTTTACGAAACGCCACTCGTTTGTTACTTTGTGCACTCCACTCCCGTGTTCAAGTTCAAGCGGATACTGCGACACCGTTTTCAGAGCTCCTCGTCGCCGCACAGTCATAGCCAAGGAAACAGAACGCTCTGTCCTTGCGCACTTCCGCCCCGGTAACCGGGCCGATGTCCATCTGCGGCGCCGAGTTGTTTTTGTGTCAGCTGACAGCAGAAACGGGACTGGCCGACCGCCATCCCTTCCGCGCTCCCATCGGCGCGCGATTGCTGCCGTCGCGTGGACGAGGCATAGCTCGGTCGCAATACATCGAACTGGCAGCAAGGTGTATCTCCGTGCCGGCGTTCTTCGACGCGCGTCCGCGACAGATCAGATGGTTCAACTTTCCGTGCACCGTCTTAAAAAAAAAACAAAAAAAACAAGTGATCGAGTCAGCCGGTAAGGACAAATTTGAAATCGTGAAAAGCAATTCTTCGTCTCCTCCGCAATGCTAAAACTTAAGCACCAGAAAAAGTTCCGTCGTGCGAGTTCATCGTTTCAATTTAAATTTAAATTTACTTTAGTTTGCAGAGACTGGAGGGACTCAGACAAATATCTGCTAATAGCAGCTTGATGGGGTCTGAGAGTCCCGCCCATGGATAGTCGGCCGGTCATTGGATGTAATCCATAGATAATTCGCATTCGCATGTCATTCGGCGTACCAATATATTTGAACGAAATTTCAGCGGTTTCAGAGATTGCCAGTTTCTTTAGCACTTCACTGGACAACCGCGCTGGGCTGGTTTGTGGCGAGCCACAGAACGAAGGATAAATTAGTTTGGGCAATGGTGCGAGCATTTCGCATTTCGGGACCAAGTGGTGAAGATGCAACCTCGTCTGGCGAGAGCAACTGCTGATTATGCCCCTCCCCACTTCTCAGTTAGTCCCAGTCGACCGCGGTTGGTCCCCCAGTTTCGCACGCGGCACATAGTTCCAACCAGATGGTCCCTGCGAGGCGCAAATGGGAACTCAAGTGTCCAAATGATGTCGTTGCTTCCCAGAGGCTTGATTGTTTCTTTTAATAATAAAACTCATTTAATGTTGAGTTTCATTTGACTCTAAAAACACACATTAGAAGCTCAATCGAAACTCACTGTTCATTTTTGTAAGAGTACAACACATTTTTTATTTCAGATTCTTTGTTTTTCATATACCCGATCGAAAAAACAACCCTCTCGGCACCCCGCCGTTCGTGTGAATGCCGGAGTCGGGAGGGTGTTCCGCTTTTAAAATATTATCAGTGAGTTTCAATTGAGTTTCTAATGAATTCCTATAGAGTCAATTGAAACTCGATATAAAATCGATGATTAATAAGTTTGATTATAAGAACTAAATATATATTCCCTCGAATTTATTCATTACGAAGGAAATTGAATTTGGTCATAAGAAAATCAATATCGAATTTACTCATTAGGAATGCAATTTGGTTTGATAATTAAGAACACAATATATATTATTTCTAATTTACTCATTAAGAATAAAATTGACTTGGTTCATTAAGAATGTAATGTATACTCTTTTGAATTTACTCATCAAGAATGCGATTGAGTTTGCTGATTATGAACCCAATATGCAATTGAGTTTTCTCATTAGAACTCAGTATCCATTCATTTGAATTAACTCATTCGATATGCAAACGAGTGTGGATTTGGCGACTTCACCGAACGATCATTCCTTGTTCCAAGGTGTATATTTGCTTTGTTTTTGCTAAGGGATAGGGTCTAATAATGTCGAAACACTGTTCATAATTTATCAGAATCCTGAGGAGGCGATAGCATACTATACGTTAATAAATGCTGATATGGTCACCGGCCAGATGAATACATTTCATATATAGGCTATATAATGCGGTGGAGTAGCTAAGGGTGAGTGTGATTACTGCGTTGTTGCTACTTCATGGTGTTTCTGTTCATTTGTTTAATGTGTTTAGTTTCCTCCATGTTCCATGCTGTAAGGAATTGTAAGATAAAATTCTCCACATGGTGCAGGATTGTTTAAACGCAGTAGCAAAAAACTTCTATTGAAACACAGTTGCGAAAATTCGATGGAAACTCAATTGCAAAGATTAATTCAAACACTATTGCCAAAATATTAGTTAAAACAAAATTGCTAAAAATTAAGTAAACGCAGTAGCCAATACTTTGTGAAGGTTCAATAGGTCCAAAGAAAAAACGTATTAAGTTTCAACTGAGAATTAAATCTTTACCCTTTCAATTGAACCTCGTTTAATTTTTTTTTTTTTTTTTTGTAAGGGCGGATTGCAGGTCAGAATGTCAAACAAGATGAAATCTCCAACGGGTCAAACGTCAAATATTGAACAATTTGTATCTTTGGACATTTCGTCTGACGTTTTGACTCGATGGCCATTCTGAAATGTTTAGACGTTTTGACTCAATGGACATTTTGAAATATTTCGACGTTTTGAATCGATGGACAATTTGTCTCTACTTCGGATGTTTTGGCCTGTTCAGATATTACGACTCGTTGAACTTCTTGCCTCAATCGAAATGTTAGAAAAAAAAAATTTTTTTTTAGTGCGAAAGTTTTTAGGCTTAGCTTTCTCGTTCCGGGAGAAAAGTGAGGGTGTCAAGGGGAAATAGTAAAGTAATTTGTGTCCGGAATGCATTAACCTGTCGCTGCTCTTTAGAGCAGACTGTAATAGTGCATAGGCCATTTCCGGATTCGCCATATTGCATTCCGCCATATTTTATGTGGCTTGATGGTATCGACAGCCAGCAAAAGTTTACAGCCAAAGGAAGATGAGCGTTGTAATTCCGATACGAGGCAACCTGGTTTCGTCTTCGTTTGCAATAACAATGCTGACGCAACACCTGTCACATTTACTCTTAAAAACTCATGAAAATTCCTTCCTGATACGCCAATACATGACACCGAACATTTGAGGGAAGGTCCTTTCGGTTTGTGAATTTGGAGTGATACTATAGCACTCCACGCGTGCGCCTTCACAACTGCAAATGCCAGTTCGTGCTTAAGTACGGAAGATACCACGAAAACAGCGCTCCGAAACCCGTGGTATTTCTCCTAATAAACACCCGGCTAGCACGCAAACACGGTCTGAAATAAAGTAATTTCGGCAATATCACGCAAGCGCTTCCGTATTCGCCTAAATACGCGAATTCACATTTTGACTCGTTGGACAATTTGTCTCGTTAGACTGTTTGATTGCTGTGGGAATTTTTTGTCATCGGACAATTTGACTCGGTAAACATTTTGATCTTTCTGAACATTTTGACCTGATGCACGTTTTAACTCGGTTAACGCTTTGATCACAAGCGGGAGGGAGTTTGCTGCTGGTTCCGCCGATCACTGAAGTCACGGACACCCTTCCCCGAAGCATTCCCGGTGCATGGGACAGAATGAGACATTCGCACTGAGAGAGGGCCTCATAGTGGCACACGATGAAGGACATGTCGACTAATATATAATGACTGATATGCTTGTATTTGTACACGTATTTAATAAAAAAAGGACTGCTTTAAAACTGATGAGCGGACCTGGGAAATAAAAACAAAATCACATTATATAATCTGTCCTGGAATCGCATATAAGTAAAAAACAAAACGCATGACATGACTCACTAAACTCCCAAATAAAACAAAAATAAAATGATACAAAACTGGGTGCCAGAAAGCACGAAGAAGTTGTAAAAGTATAATATTTTTTTATCTGTTTATTTACTTACCTCGAAAAAGCATGCTAGAGCTGGAACGAATATTTTCGCTTTGCATTTGTACAATTTACATAATATTTGTACCAAACTCGCCGGCGATTCTGAACATTTCGCTAAGAATGACGGCAAACGTGAGCCAACTTTAAATGTACAAGGCTGCACGCACACAAACGCACGGACACTCGAATCTGTCTTTCGGAAATCAGGCGAAGGCGGTTAGCACGTTTCAGAACCGTACTACTACACTAGACTCAACATTGTTCGTAGTTTTCACGTCAATGTCACTTTCGTGGGCACCGTTTTCGTGCGCATTCGTGCTCTTGTATTCTCCGTCGTATGGACCGTCACCGTGATTTGCCCCTCGGGTAGGACTCTTGTCCTTGCTATTTGTCCGGTGAACGCCGTGGGGCTGGGAGCTTTTGCTGGCTGCAGCACATTGAAATCCTTCCATCTCGTGTGCTTTGTTTTGCTTGGTGGTTTCAGCAGAAGCTTGGGGCTCGCCTTCTTTTGCCCATCCGAACACCAGGTTATCGAGGACGGCGATTGGACACTCGATGCAGAGGTAGGGGATGGTGGCGAGTGCGTAAGCCGTGATTGTTACCCCTATGTGCTCTTGTCCCTGAAAGGCAACGAAATGATACAATCAAGCCTAGTTAAAACAAGCCCCATTAAAGTCTAGAGACAACATTTGCGCGAACAAACTGAGTAAATATATGAAATATTTTGTCTCGTTATTATGGACAACTGTCAGTACGGACAATTTAGGAGGTGACGGAGGCGTCCATATTAACGAGACACTGCTGTACGTTGCATTAAGACATTTTTTTTTAACCCACGCAATTTTTTATGCTAGGCATTGATTATAGGGATAATATCGAACATAGGCTAAATTTATGAGAATCAGCTCATTGCCCCCGGCTGGGCTTGCAAGGAAAAAAATCTCGAATACTACGCCGCTGACATTATAAAATATAAAACAGTTTGTTGTTGAGCGAGTTGGTGAACGTTTGGATGCATTGTTTTGCGCAAAATGACGGACACAAGAGAGAGAAAGAAATACAAGCGCTCGTGTTTGTTTCTCTCTCTTGTGTCCGTCTTTTTTGCGCAAAACCATGTTTCCAATACGTTGACATTCACCTTCAAATGTATGGCGCTAAACGGTAAGAAAGCCTAATCGGCCATATTTGTTGGAACCCTGGAACTCAATTTCAGCTTTTTTTTTAAATATATATTTTATAGAACAAAAAGGGTAGTAATGATTTTTGTTGTTGTTTTTAATTCTTGTTGTTTAACGATAGGAATGACGTTATTCTCACTTTTCAACATTAGAGTTATATTTCTGTGCGGTGAAACAGGAATTTATTCAATTTAAGAATCTGACGATATGTGTGTGTTACGTTTTAATTAACTAAAAAAACAAGTGCTTAAACTTCCTTAACATTATCTCATGCATTTGTGTTTACAGCAGCATTGGCGATATTGCACTGGCGGCATACATTAAAAAAATAAAACCGGTTATTTAAAGCAACCGTACCCTGTCTGATGGTAACTAAGCGCGGGCCGCATTTATTTCTGATCTGCACTCCCCCCTAAAATAAAACATTGATGTTTCAAGTTTTCAACAGACATAAAAGAAACATTAACACTGGGAAATAGATCATCAAACTCATATGTTCCGGTTGAACGAAGTTTGTTTGATCAGTGACTGCAAAGAGGTCTCGTCAGTAGGTCCTGAAATGCATAAGCTCGTAAGCACACGAACACATTTCTTTTTCTTGTTCTTATTTTCTTGCGTAGATTGTTTTGTCATAAAGCGCAGAAAACAAGGCTAATATATCAAAGATAATACACCAGTGCAAATGCAGATGACTGAAAAAAATGTGCGATATCTGTTGAAAAGGTAGGAAACGAAAATGCTAAAGCAGCTGTCAAACTGATCAAACTTCATACGAAAAAAAAGAAAAAGAGACGGTTTTTACTGCAGAGATGACGACATAATTATCTGCGAACGAGCCTTAAGAATGTTTAAAGGAGCTTTGCTTCGTACATACAGGGTGTCACAAAGGAAAATTTACACGGTCTTTTTTACCGCAAAAATAAACTAGGCACCGCCGAACGCTCATTCTCCGCCCAAAGGTAGAGCTAGAGGTCACAACCAGATGCCAAAGTTTCAGCCCGATCTGATACCTTATTCAAAAGTTATAAGTGATTTTCTGAAAATTTCAATGGGAAAACGCAGCCCATTTTTGCCCGTTTTCGGTTTCTGGTGCCATAGAGCCCCATGTGTTTGAAAACTCCGTCGGCCGCCATTTTCCCATTGAAATTTTCAGAAAATCACTTTTAACTTTTGATTAAGGTATGGGATCGGGCTGAAACTTTTGCATCTGGTTGTGACCTCTAGCGTTACCTTTGGGCGTAGAATGAGCGTTCGGCGATGCCTAGTTTATTTTTGCGGTAAAAAAGACCGTGTAAATTTTCTTTTGTGACACCCTGTATGTATTCGTCGTATGTTCGACGTGACAGGACTGCCACACGAGAAAGAAGTGCTTCTCAGGCAGTGTGGGCAGAGTGTCTCTTGTTTGATGTATTAGACGCGCGACCAGGGCTTTAGAGATTCCTATTATGGGAATTGACTCCACCACGCGCTCATTGTCTTCAGCCGTGCCTTGGCTGCGCAAGTGACGTAGCGATTGCAAAACCAGAAATCTCGCGCTAAGGGCACGAGCTCTCTTAACCTGCCACAGACTGTACAGCATTAGAAATCTTTCAAGTCCTCAGCCCTACTCCATCACTCGGCCCAAGACCCACTTTCCGCCTGCGCGGATCCGCACCATTAAAGTAAAGCCCGGCGCTCACCAATCGCGGCGGTACACTAATTTCATTGACTTTCTTGCCGACTGTCCAACTCAGAGCTCCAAAACGTGCATCCAACTTATACACACCATTCAAATTTTTACAAATCCTCAGCCCAGCGTGCGATCTCCTCAGCACAGCACGCGCGCTTTCGTCGCTTGGAAAGGCGAGCAAATCACGCGCCATGCGCACGAACACTAAAAAGGGAACCGACTGGCTGGCCAATCGCAGCGCGGTGCTCGCAATCGCGGCGGTCGGCGATCTCGCCTACTTGCTCGCCGTGTCCAACCTTAGAGCCCTTGTTTTTCGCTGCCGTCCCAAGACACTTGCCTCGAGGAAGGGCTGGTGAGACCTCCGCTCCCGGCGAAGGATGGCGTTGACTCCGAAGACAAAGACGTGCACGAGGTACACGGCGAACGAGAGCCGTCCCAGCGGGTAGAAGATCGGGTTGGAGAGGATCTTGTTGACGGGCCCACCGCGACCCGTCGCGCATGCGTACATGACCCAGGAGACGGCGAAGCCCCAGGCGAACCTGTGAAGGGCGGCGTAGACGTCGGACTCGAGGCGCTGGGGTTCGCGTCCCCGGTTCCAGGAGTAAGCGCCGAAGAGAGACGAGCAGGCGAACACCACCGCCACCGTCCACCAGAACGCCTGCGCCTTGATGGACAGCCGGTGCGGTTTAGCGGCCAGGTAGCCGAAGATGATTGCAGTGAAAAGCCCTGAAGCGTAGGTGAAGGCCTTGCCGTAAATGTAGATGTTCGTATCAATAACCGACCTGTGAAACGAAAAAAAATCGGCTGGCTTAAGACTGGTTCACTCATACGTCGCAGCGCTAAAATCAAGACTTAGAACAGAGCTTACGTGAAACTAACTAAGCACTTATTCAGCGCTGTATTACCAATAAAGCATGAGCTCAGAGCTGATGACCAGGGCTATTTACAACGTTTACTAACAGTTTTGTGCTGTATGTGTGAGCAAGCCTTTAAAGGTTCCTTAAAACGCAATGCAGGAGCAATAGCACTTTTAATTTTTAACTTTAGCTTTTAACATGCAGCTGTACATGCTATTGGAATAATATGTATACCGTTGCACGTGGCGAAGGAATTGTGAATGTACATAGGATTCTTCCTTTTCAGTCATGCATTTTTTTTTCGACAGCCCTGATATCATTATTGTCTGAAATGCAGTTACGCATCAAATCTGATAGCGAAATTCCTCCGCGTCCACAAGATTATTGTACCAATACGCAGTTACTACCCAATAGTACACAAAGTCCTTTCGTCAGAAACAAAGGAGCAGGGGAAAAAATGAAATATTAGCACACTATTTGCCCCCCCCCCCCCCTCTTCCCAACTCCACGAGTCCATTGGTCGCGCGGGTTATGACGTCATACCAAACGTTGCGATTCGTTGCTGACATTCTTTCTTACGGCCTTGATGCTGTGCGGCCAACATCAACCCGAGTGAGCAAGGTCAATGGAGGGTTTCTATATGAAGCTGTCGCGTTAAGAAAGAATGCGGAAACACTTTAGGCTTTTAATTAGGAGAGGAAAACTATACTCGGCGTTAACTTTGTTGGGCTAAGTTGTCGAGGCTAGTGTAGCTTCCGCAGTGACAGGGGAAAGGAACTGTCAAAGTTGCCCGAGTGCATGCGGATGGGACGCAACATGGAGCCACATGCTCAAGCAGCAGTGCGAGAATGCTAACTAGTGCAATCCACTTTTTACTTTGCAAAGTTAACGCCAAGTGTAAATTAACCCACAACTTTCCAGTTAATACGGAACTTTTGTTTCCTGCCACAATTGATGTCAACGTTTACAGAAAGTTATCCTCTTCGAACTGCAATACCAATGCCTCGGAGGCACGACCTGATTTGCCCAACAAAGGGCAGCGAGAGTGTCAGTATGCGATCTCGCCGCCTTCTAAATTAGCCTATCTTCACAGCTTGATCGCCCAACGCGATTAACACTACGTAGGTATATAGTTGTGTAATCGTTACAAACCGAATATCTGTTGAAATGACCAGAGACAAAGGCATGTAGTTGTAGAAGTGGGTGACTAATCCCAGGGCGAGGGAGGTTGAGAAAACAATCGCCACCATGATGGCAATACCCAGTTTCGGAAACCTGAAATAAAAAAAAAAAGCATGGTGCAGTGTTGTTGTTTCTTCTTCTTACGCATGAAATATATCGCCTATATGCAGCCATATTTTACCTTGACACGATCACCACGAGAATTACTGTTGTGACGATGGCCAGTTGAAAGTCCGCGGAAACGTACCAGAAATGCGGCAAGCACTGCGAAACCAAATGTATCAATGAGTGACCTTGCCTTAATTGTTCTCATAATAATAAAAAAAAAACAGTATGTATTTTTGTGGGAATGTTAGTGTCTATAATTTTTATTCGCTTCTAGTGAGCGATGTTGTTCCTTGAATGATCTTTGCACAGAGTCTGAAATCAAAATTATCGCGCTGGTGAGCCCAGAAACGATCATACCGGGAAAAGACGGAAACGAGGAAAGGAGGAAACGGCAATAGACGCCGGTCACAGAGAGCCGACTGGCTGGAGGATGCTGCTCGCTTCCTAGCTAGTCTAAGTGTCTGTTTTGTTGCGGTCGTCGTCATATTCACCATCTTGGGTTCATAGGATTTTGGAGCCCACTTTGGTATGCTAAAAAATTGCACTGAAAGCATTTTCATTAATGTCGGTGTCTATCGATTTGTACAGGTAGTCAGCACCTCATGCGTCTCTATCTGCGTCAATTTGATATGTGTATATCACCCTTCGATTGTTTCTTCCCTTTTATAATTCACTTTTTAATGCGGCTTCACCGCCTAAACCCATTACCGAAAGTTGCTGAATCTAGGGAAGGCACTGAGAAATCAGGCAACCATTTGCTTTGCTCTTTTTCTGTTTCAGAAAGTATCCCCTAGTTAGAAACACACTGAAAAGCCTACTCTTCAGGTAATACGAATATACGTACATACTCTGACTTCTCTCTATTGGATTCTTTATACTGCATACACGTTAGATATTCACAAAAAAAAACAACCTTTAAGCGTTGTAGGTATTTCAGTAACTAATGAATTCAATACGTTATTCGTGTTCATTAAGCCCTGAACCGATGTCTATTTTGTGGAGGAGGCCAGCTTTTTTTTTTTAAATTATTTATTTAAACCAGTTACATTTAGGCAGTTATTTTATTTCACTTTTTTTTTTTTTTTGGGGGGGGGGGGGTTACAGTTTCTTTCTGTGATGAATTGGAGTAAAGATGTCGCTTGGCATCCAGTACCCAAAAGAAAAAGTCTATTAGCAGACTGACGATTTTCTTATTCCTATTTGCGAACATTTCATATCAAGTTGGGCCAGCTGGATATGAAATGAAGAATTCACTATAACAGTAGCTGAGACGTTGGAAAGTAGTGAAATCATATCTGGCTACAATTGCTCTACTCCGTTTGTGCCTAAGTTGTGAACGAAAGGGAAGCTACGCACTCGCGAGACTAATCGCCTAATCCTGATTTTCGATCGTGCGTTTGAGTTGAAGCGTGATCTTGTGCCGGAACATTGATGTGCGACTGGTACAACGAGCACGTAGCTTCTACTGCACTCTCAGCTTAGGACCAAACGTAGTACACTCGTTGGGCTCGACGCGTCTCGTGAAAGTTATGACGACGTCCATTGAATTAGTTTCGGGAGGTTGGATCGGTTTTCTGTGGCCCTTTAGGGTGATCAAGGGGACGCTGTTTACTCATATAAGTCCGTTGGTAGATGCTCTTGATAACAAACTACTTATTTATAAGATAAGGTCGTTTCGTGTACGTGGAACTTTTTTTTCTTTACTTCATATTTACTGGTCCACGAGGCATAATTATTTCCCGTGTGTTGTGAGCTTGAGCGATATTATCTGTGTTTGTTGGGAGGGTCACAAGGCTTGACAGTCGGGCGAATTCCTTTGATTGTGTCCTTACTAAACGTGGCCTCGTGTACAATGATGGCCATAAATTTGTTTCTATTTTCCATGACTCCATGAAAGCATAAAAAAAGGTCACCGAACGTATCTGTTTTTCGTTTTTATGCTGTCATGCAGTGACGAAGATTTGCTTGTCTACTTCCTAAGAAGGGTCCGACTGTATCTCTTTCTTTCTTAGACGAAAGTGTCATAGCATTTGTCTGAACAAAACAATGATTTTCAGCATAGAAAATTGTTACTTGTAATTTCTGTATAAGTGTTCAGTGTGAATTATATTTCTAAGTCAATATCGGCGACATTTCAAAATACTTCGATCAAAAACTTTGTATTCTAATTTTTGAGTTTCGTTCGACAAACAGCGTTGTAGTAATTTACTTGATTGAAAATTGTGCTCCGTTGAGCTCTATGAAAGAATTAACATATGTTACCTTAATTCCAGAAAATTAATTATGTCAACAGAGTTTTATACTTTCTGTTACATTTCATAGGTTAATAACTCACGAAGACATACATATTTCAAAAAAACAATATTTTTGTCGACATTAAAACCGAGCAGTGTTGGAGAGATCTTGCAGTTCGTTATGTCTGCGCGGCTATTTCAACTAGGCTGATAGTACATCAATCTCTCGTGTTTCTGAACTTAGAAAATGTTACTGACAGGACTGGTTTTCGGTTTCTGGCGTTTCTTCAGTAATAGTAATAAAAGGTATCCGACATTTCAATAATTCCGGAATTGAATGCTACATTGAACAATTTTGTTTTGGGCTAACTGTGTTTCTATTGTTAATATTACTGAATAGAGTCGACTATAATAAATATTTCTGTGCACCATCAGCATAAACTTGGCCGACCTTGAGCTTTAAAACATATTCATTGAAATAAACTACTTTTTTTTTCTTTCTTACTTTCTTTATTTACTTAGTTTTTCACCGGCAATGAAGGTACGGACAAAATGCATTGGTGTCTCAAAGGGTTCTGACCCCTATACAGTTCAAGCCAGAGAAACAGAACAACAGCTGAAAACAGTATTTCGCAAAGCACATCGTAATATTAAATGTATTTTTTTAATTCCGGAAAACAAAATTAAAGTCAAAACTTGGCGTGTGTGATATTATTAAACAATCATAAAGCGAACCCCAAATTTGCAAAGAACATCGCGACGATCACAAAAATACGTTGTCTGCTCAGTCGGAAAGCCAATAAAAGAACTAATTTGAATTGCGCAAAGATCTGCAGCTTACACATGGGAGAGCGCGCGGGCTACAAGAAACGCTCACCATATTTGACAGATCGGTCATGTAATTGTGGGTCATGGTGGGGATCCTCCACCAGTGTACATCACAGGGTTGTTCCTTCAGGAACCACATGTCGTTCAGCAGCGGGCCCGTAGCGACTAGAGGTATCAGGTAGACAAATCCAAGAAGAGCCATCATGGACGGAACAAGCCTGCGTCGTGTAAAAGCGTAGTAACAAGGTGTTCAAAAAACGTGCTTTTTACAGTCCGTTTCACTTGAAGTACGACCGCAGCCGATAAAAGGAATCAACGGATTCATTGAAGCAGCACAAGAATAGCATCATCACGGCTCTCGTTTTCTTTGTGGTAAACGTGTGCGAATACCGCTTCCAATAGAATAGCCTTAACATATTTAGGAAAACCGGTTGCCGTGGCTTTCGGTTCCACTGTGAAGGCTAGGAATGACACGGTGCTGCCTGAGACGAAGCGATATTCACACACTCGTCTACGAGGGATTACCATCACCAGCTAGAACATGGGTCGCTAAACTATTTGGCTAAGGGGCCTGATCGGATATATGTCGTTGTCTCGAGGGCCTGAAAATAAGTACGTATATATAAATGAGGTGAAACGAAATAAATAATCCTTTCTATTGACAAGCGTTAAAATAAAAAAAATGAATATAAGGCAGACGAATACGTTCACATAATTTATAAATCCAATATTTTGAGGATAATGACATTACACAATAATTGTAACACAGAAAACGCCCCGGGCATCAGTTCAACTGCATAGGAACACTGGCACTTTTCAACGGGGAAGAAGACTACTAAGTATGATAGAACTCATGCTGACACCATGTAGTAGATACGGCACAGCATACCGACCTCAATGTACACGCAAATGAATTTTAACCGTGCGTAGTTAGAAAAATATAAAACACTTTGGCTAAGAACGATGAGGCAGGTGACAACAATGTACAATGAATAATACGACGAGAGGACACACTTTACGATAGGCAGTTCTCTCTTTCGATTATTTCTTTGGTATCTTCGTTTAGGCGGTTGGTGCGCGTGGCGGCACCGTTTCTTTACGCGCGCGCTTATTAAAGCGAAAGCCTTACTTTTCCCATTTCGCGAATGGGCTTCCGCGTGGTGACCGGAAGATGGCAATAGAAATACGTCATCAAGCACGCGCCACTCAGACGCGCCTCAGAAATAAGACACAAAGAAAAGCACAGCAAGGCAGGTGCATCGTCAAGGAAGCCGTGGAACTGGCGGGGGCGCCGCGCCTGAGCAGTGGGGGAGCGTGATGTCACCACCGGAGCACCGTGTGAAAAAGAAAGACGTGGCGCGCTGCTTGTAGAAACGCGCTGCGTGTAGAAATGCTTTCGCATTCCAACACGTCGGCAGTCCTAAATGTCTTCGTTTTTTGTTTTTTTTTGCATTTTGGTAGCAGCGGGCTTGTTGGCTTGTTGAAGGCGGGCCGTGCTTTGTTGGCAGAACCGTTGCTATCCCCTGGCCGGTCGGAAGACCTCCGCGTGCCGGATGTGGCCCGCGGGCCGGGGTTCGGAGACTCCTGGGCTAAACCAACCACTCAATAGAAAAAAGCGCAAGAACGTGGCGCATCTTACTACGCGGTTGGTTTATTCGGTGAGAGCCAATGCGCTAAGGACAACGAGCGCTGTGGCGGCGAACGTTTGGCTGTGCAGGATTGGCTCCATGCATGAGGTCTCAGCGTCGGCCGTGGTCGCACTTGAAGGGCCACGAAACAATTTGTGCGCGGGGATAAATATTCTTAAATTGGGATTTTACTTATCGCATAACGCTCAAGAAGGAGGGCAGAAGGGCAAACAACTGCTTTTTCGTTGCGGAAATTTTTGAACATAGCGTACTATTTCTCCCCGCTTTCCCTTCGAAAGCTCTCCGCCTTTTCGCTACGATACATCCGCGGTACACACCGAAGCACGCCAGCCGACCCCTGCTAACGCATGTAACACGAGCATTGCGTCATGGAACGTATGCTCTCGTCGAAAATCAATCGCTTTGACGAATGTTTGGATTCGCCTTCCTGGCCAATGAGCGCCGTGACGGCAGTTATCTTCACTTACAAACGACACGTTTCGTGGTGTGCTTAAGGAAAACACGCTGGAAGCTCGGAGTCATCGCATCCGGTGAAATGCTACGTCAGGGCCACATGATTCCCTATTTCGCTTTTGAGTTGAGGAGGAAAGCTAAGCTGGAAGGAGTTGGAAGACCATTTTCTGGCCCCTTTAAATTAAGATAAAGTACAAAACAAGTATGTCTGTTCCTTGTGCGTTTAAACATGCGATTTGCAACTGTAGTGATTCATGCCTTAAGTGGGCACTAAACCACTCTCTGCGATGGTCATGACTCAATCTATAGGCTCTACACGTCCTAAAATTATCAAAACATTACAATGATGCGTGGCCGATATCTGTATTAAAATCGGTATCAAAAGAACGACACCAGATGGCGCCATCGGCCAATGAAGGGCACAGGCCTGTCCTTCCTCCTGCGACAATGACCTCTAGTGCCCGCAATTGTTTCCAGGTAATTGATATTTAGTACCAATTTTAATTAAAAAAATCGGCCACGCCTTAACGCAATGTATGTCTTATATACGATGCTTAGAGTTCATAGATTGAGATATGACAACAAACGAACTATCGCAGAGAGTTGTTCAGTTTAGCTTCTTTTATACTCAGGAAACATAAGGCGTGGTGAAACCCGACCATCATTATCGCTTTGTAGAAAAGGATATTGCGCCACTCGCTGGTAAAACTACCGATGAACAAATCCCAAAGCAAGGAACATGAATGCAATAAGTCACGCCCGGTGTTTTTTAGGCTCTACGTGACTGTGATTCTGTCACTACTCTGAAGTCGCTTTCTAACTTTGTTGGTACATGGCGTGTGCTAAAGATATTAGAATAAACCCTTTAAAAGTTTAATAGGCTCTGACGCTGTAAGAACAGGAGCTTACTTCAAAAAGATCCACCTTCAGAAGTAATGGAACTTTGTGATCAATCTATATATCACGGGAATGAAGCACTTTGTTCCGAAGTGATCGAGAAGAATTTCACATCTTTCGACACTGCGGTACAAAAGTAGGCCACCAGCCAATTTTAACGGTTAAATCTTTTCAGTTAACAAACTGTCGCCTTTTATGCCAAAGAGGAACCTTCTAGAATAACACTTACACCATTAAAGAGATAATTACAAACTAGTAAGCACCTACGTTTAACGTGGCTTAAAAGTTTCATCACCAAACTGTGTGCTCTGTTTCTACTTGGCAGTTTTTATTTTTCCCTTTTAAAATGGCGCATATTATAAATCTCATGTGAACTAATACTCGAGGCTTTCACGTATTAAGCACACACCTTACGGAATTCTAGGCTTCGAAATAAATCATTTATCTTTAACGGCGTCGACCACTTACCTTATGTATCTTCTGATGAGAGGAACCAGAACGAGGAGGTACGTAGCCACTTTCGGCGTTGGGGTTTTCACTAAGATGTATCCTGATAAAAAGCCACTGGAAGGAATTAGAGAGTAAGTCGCACGGAGTCTATACTTGTTCTCTAAGACTTTTCAATTATTAGGAGAACTCCAAGTCTAGAAACTCAAGGAGAAGAGGAAATAAGAGCGCGCGGGAACCTCGCAATGCCGAGCTATATAAGGACAGATTGAAGACGCAATGGGCAGTTGCCATTACCTTCACTGGGGGGGGGGGGGGGGGGGGGAGGGCTGTAAACGTTGAAGACGTAGCACTCTAGTTATAGCGCTATTGATTTTGGGGCGAAGGTAATCCGAATAGGACATCAAAATGCTTGAGACACTGACAATTGTGCGGTAAGCCTCTTTCTGATGATCAATCACTCGACGAATCAAAGTTTAATTTTATTGTGCTTGCCAGCAGCTCGGAAGTTTTTACGGTAAAAGAAACATGTACAGAACGTTTCTTTTTTTTTTTTTTTAACGCGGGCCAGCCCCCTCCTTCAAAAAGCACAGACGGCACAGGAAAGAAATGTCGATGTCCCGTTGATATCTGACGAAGGGCACGTTTGTACAATTAAAAAAGTTCGTTGTAATGATTTTCTAATATGTTTAGCAATAACTTTTAACTAGTAAATTAAAAGGTATGGTTTCAATTAAAAACGTTGTGGGAGTCATTATAAGCCATTATATCAATCACTCTACAAAAATATATGGCGCACGGAGCATTTTTATAGCCTCCCGAAAGAGCGCTCACCTGTTTTGTTTTGACCTGCTTTGAAGTTTCGGGTTTTCTATCAAAACAAATCTCCGAGCGAACGGTCCTGCTCCGCCATGGTCAAAGCGCGAATCTCACGCACCCACTGTTCGCACTACGAATGTGACACAAACTGTCAAGGCTCATTCTTGTATTGCCATGCGAACATCATAGCGTTTCTTTTTGCCCGATCGTGCCACACGTCCTTCTCTCCTACAGGGACACGAGGCGATAGTCGCGTGATTTGGCCACGGCAAGCGGGGGCACTAACCTGGACACTTGGCGAAAAAGTCGGCGAGAAAAGCGACGGCCGCGATTCGCCAGCGCTGCGCTTGACCTTGTTGCTTGTCAATGATGGCCGCTGGATTCCTCGCCGACTTTGTCGCAGGACCGCTGACGCAAAGATTCGCTCCGATAGGGAACCAAAACCTAGATACGCGTCTAAATTAAACGTGTAATCTGGTTTTCGCTTCTTTTTTTTGTTGTTGTTGTAGTTTTTCGGAAGGACGCAAAATGCTGCTGCGCATGCCATTTTTTTTTTTTTCTAAAATGCGCCAATATCGTGGTTTTCAATGAAACCCAGAATATTTCAAATTGAACCCACACGTCACAAATAGAAGAAACGTTGATTCCTCAAAAATAATTAGAGCCCAAATATACCGAACCTTAATTATTTTTTCTAAACAGGCCCTCTGGCTGAAACCAGAAGGACATGAACCTTTTCTTTGTGCAACTTCTATACTTTCTAGGAGTAGTTTGGCCCGCGTTTCAAAACCCACCCTGTATAATAAAATTAAGTACTCCAAAATGCATGAGTTTCAGTCTCTAAAGGCACAAACTCCCCCCAAAAAATTACGATGTCAGTAAACTGTGTGTCTGAAACAAGTTGAAAGTTGTGCAGCTGGGCACTTTCTCTTTGCAA